AGACCGAGCTCTTAACGAGCGTTCTCAGGGCAGCTGAGATAAAGCGTCTGGGGACCGGGCTGCCTACCGCTCAGCCTAGCCCGCCGAGGGGAGAATCGGCTGTCTAGTTGACTAAAATCATTGTGAAATGAAATGATCTTAAATCCTGGCGTAACCCCCGCAGCAAAACGCCTCCGTAGCTTATTGCGCTTCTCTCTTTCGCGCCCCTGCCGTCTGATGCTCTCATGTTGCCGGAGCCGGGGCGGCGGGATGCGTACCCAGGCCTCTGGAGCTCGCTGTTTTGCGGCCCAGTTCGTTGGGCGAGGAGATGGGATTTGCACAGAAGTGGTCGAGGCACAGACACGTGCTCTGTTAAATTGATTTCCTTACAGGATATAGTAATTTTTAGGCCATCTTGTTAGTAGGAGTCTTGTTCCAAACCACCATAACCTGTGAGGCAGGTGAAGTTGTGTGTGTGGGACTTGACGCTGTTGTCGGCGCAGCGTTGGTCACAACAGCAATGTTCCTCTGTGTTTCGCTTAGAACTACTATTTTTACCACGCTGTTAGCCCAGGTTTGAGGTGTGATGGTCTGCTAGCCCACGTGCCTAATTTGCTAGCCATGTGTTATTTGCCCTACTTGTTACAAAGTTCTCTTTGTAAACTGACACGTGGTTTGTGGCAAATAAATTCCTAAGTATTTCTGTCCGCTGTCAGGTAGAGGAAGGAGGAGATTCTTCTGGTTCTGTACTGGCTTTGTAACTTTTCTTTTTTTATGTTTTGGCAGACGTCTGCTAGAGAGGCTCTGAATCATAAAAGTATTAAGCCATTGCTGAATGCCTTTAACCAGATTCCCGGGAGGTAAGTAAATGCTGCTTGATTTCCAAAAGGTGTCTATTCTGGTAATTTTTAGTAATCTCGTCCCCAATAGTTGTCATTAACTGATGTGAAATGTTTGCATTTGCAGTGAAAATGAAAAAAAGTGTACCTTGGATCAAGCTTTTAGAGTTATTGTAGAAGAGGAAATAGTAAGTACTTTAAGCTGCTACAGCTTATCTCTTGATAAAGCTCAAATTTCTGTTTGCAGGTTCATGTATTAATTTAACAGCAACTTACTTTAGTATAAGGAAATACTGTTCAGTATGTAAAAGTTATCTAGTTAATATTGAATATAGATGATTAAAGGAGATTGGTAGGTAGGACAGAGTGGCAGTGTTTTACAGATACCACACTATAGCGAGAGGTGTTGACTTAGCCTTTTCCAGCAGTTCTTTGTAATGCTTATGAAATTCTGCTTTGTCTTAATATTCTAGTTCATAAATATGCATTATTCTACCACTGTAGTTTAAGAGTGGGATGGAGTGGGTTATCTGACACTAGCATGTAACAAAGCTGCCTGTCAGCTGAAAAGAATGATGAAAGGAATTAAAGAATGGCTCTGTTGGTATTACTTGAATGAGGGCTGAATGTGGGATATTAATTTTCAGAGGTGAATGACTATTTCTACACAAGTAGCTATTATAGGGTCGTTAATGGCCAGAAGCAGTCAAGAAACGTTGCTGGCTCAATAAAAACTTATATGGTTAACAGACAGGTCTGATGTAGTAGATTGTTTGAAGTTTTGGGAAGTTGAGTGTCAATATTTGTTTTAAATATGCCTACTTGGAAACAGGAACTTCAGGTTTGTTATGTATGTTTAGGTCCAAATGGAGAAGTTTAACACTGTTCTGTTTGTTTAGATAAACAAAGCTCCATGTGAAAATCTCCTGGCAATTATTTCTCTTGCTATTAATGGAGTCACAGAAGGTGAGCATCTTTCCCTCACATCTGTTGGTAGTTTTAGGGGTCATTTAGAGGAATTTTTAAATCTTGATTTTTTTGTAAATCATCTACAGCAGTTAGCTTTGATAATAAGTGGTCCTTACACTAGTGGTTATTAAGTCTGTTTCACAATAAAGTGAAGTATCATATAATTAAATTCAGTTATAAGTGTGACGTTTGTGTATCTCTGTCCACCACTGTAAAGTGCTTAGAAGTCTCCCATCACAATTTCAGAGAAGGGACCGCTGAGGCAGAGAGGCTAACTGATTTGTAGGTTTCTCTGTCAGTCTCTGGCAGAGCCAGAAATAACTTCTGAATTTCTGTGCTCATCTACCAGTACTGACCTGTCAGTTCACAGCTGGTTTTTTAGGTACCTGAATATGTTTCTGTAACTGTCTTTTGTGTCAGAAATCATTGTGCCAATCTCTTCTGAAGATGCTTTTGTGATCTTCCCCTTGTTTATTTGTTCACATTACACATCAAATACTTGTTTGTTTTAGTAAGTATAGCTCAACTACATATGTGTTTTATGAACTGTAGAATAACAAGACCTGTAATGATGAGGAGTGCAGACACTACCAAACTAGAGAGCATGGGTGGACAGACTTGGAGCGCTGCTTTAGTGGTGCTTTGCTTGAGGAAGAGACTCTCAAGCTTCACGGGTGTGTGTAGTGTAATTAACTGTTGTTTTAGAAGTCGGAAAGAGTTCACTTCAGTCTGCAAAGAGATGCAACGTTGCTTCAGACTGTGAGGTTCTTAGAACAGTTATTCTTTATTATTTGTTTTATGTTAGTGCAAAGCTCTTGTAAAACTCTCTCATCTGCATAGGTGTACATACAGAAATATCTTTAATGGCAGTTCATGCTTTAGCCCAAGCTTTTTGTTAGTATTTGTAGGAACCCAAGAGAACTTTTCTTCTTTTTTTAACATGTCTCTCAACTGCCATGCATCTCTATTGCATTTCCGTTCAAATTTGCTGAATAAGATGTTCCCTGTTCCTCATAGGTATCTGCACTGCATCAACCCCTTTTGTGCTTCTGGGTGATGTTCTGGATTGCCTGCCTTTGGATCAGTGTGACAAAATTTTCACTTTTGTGGAGAAAAATGTTGCTACATGGAAATCGGTAGGTATTTTTCCAAAATGTGGTACAGTTGTGCCAAAGCTTCTGTCTACCTGAACCATTTTTACAAACTGATTTTAAATGTCTTTGTATCTGTGTTAAAGTAGTAGTAGCATTCAGCACATTTTGGTTTGAGGCTTAAACATATCTGGGCAGCAGAGATCAGAAAATTAATAATAAAATAAATCAGTTTTGATTGATTGCTCTATTTCTAACTACTTTCTCTACAGTATACAGTGTTTGTCACATTTAGAAACCGGAAACTTAACTTTCAATGCATCATTTATATGAGTAGCTTCTCTCTTGACATATTGTTCAGCTGCTTCCTCCAAGCTGCAGGAGATTCCTCGATCTCCTATTTCAGGGAAGTCTTCTTGGTCGCTTCCTTAATGAGCCTTCCATTACAGGACTATAGCAATGGTGAATAAGTTGGCCTAAAATGTTTCTGCTCTTGAGGAACAGCTGGTGTTTTGAGGCCTGCGTGAGGGTTTTACTCTCTTGCTGTGCCATGGTGCTGTAGCAGAATAGCTGCTGCAACAAGCTGCTGAGCTTCTTGTGCTGCAGGTGCTGTTAATTAAAGAGGGAATTCAGGGTCTTGGGCAGAAGTCCTAAGCTGCCTGCGTTTTATTCCAAGATCATAAGAAATCTTGGATCTCAGTATCCTTGGCTTGCTCTTTGGCAGTACTGGTGGCACCACGAGTGTCAGCAACTCCATGGGCAACACCTGAAGAGCATTCTGGTTTCTCTGTATGTGTTCCTAACCTGGATTTCCTAACTGTGACTACCTCCCATAGGCATGCATTCAGGCTGTTCTGTTTCAGATAACCTTGTCCCCTCCAATACATTCACAAACTGTTCTTTATCATTAATTCAAGTACCTATCAATGTCTTTCTCCTGCTGCCAAATTACTAGCACTGTGAATGCTCTAAGTCTTTTCTGTATCGCTCTTTGTGTTTGTGTATGAATAATGCATGGAATAATAAAAGTAATGAGTGTAAAAAAAATTAGTGTGTTCCAGGAAAAAACGTGTACGCTGCTCTTGCAGTTCATCATCATTTGCAGTTTTTCTGTATGGAGGCTGAATTTAAATGCTGTATTTCATTCTTTCTTGGAATTTGTGGGACTGCTTGTTTTGTGTTGCCTTTTTTGTGAAACCTGACTCTTATTTAAGGGAACACTCAAAGTTAGAGTTAAGAGTAGGAATGACTCATATTTACTCATGGCTTATGATCAATTTAAATTCTACTCAAGAAGGCTTTGTGCTCTCTTAATGATCTAAATACCTTTGCTCCATTTCAGAATACATTTTACTCTGCGGGGAAAAATTACTTGCTACGAATGTGCAATGGTGAGTTGTAGTTTTTCAGGGGGGTGGTGGGGAATTAAAGAACTCCCTATCTCAGCAAATGAAAGTGAGTTTAATAATTTGATTTACATTCAGATGTGTTCAGTAAGTAATAAAGTTAAAAGGCAGATCACTCAGCAGATAATTCATGAGTCTTGCTGATTAACATGAAAGTCATTCTGACCTTAGGGAAATCTTTTCATCAGTGCAGGTCGTTGTAGCAGAACACCTGAGGAACAATTATCCTCAGCAATGACAAGGCCCATATCAGAGGCTGTATTTGAGTAGGATTCATTTGAACTTCTTTTTTATTGCTGTTGAAGGTGTTAGGAGCATTGGTAAAATGTGTCTGGAGGAAACATGGCTGATCTGAGGAACTTACTGGCATTTCAGTTCACAAGTCTTAGCTTCCTTTCATCAGCTCTGTAGGTCATGTTAATTGGCAAGTCTTAAATTCTGGTGCGTGAGAAGTTGAAAGAGGGATAAATACTAACATTCTTTACTTTTTATAATATTTAGACCTCCTAAGAAGATTATCTAAGTCACAAAACACAGTATTCTGTGGAAGAATTCAGCTGTTCTTGGCTAGGTTATTTCCGCTTTCAGAGAAGTCAGGTGAGATTTTTTGCATTTTGTCACACTTAACGTCTAACAAAGACTAAATATGCTGAATCTTTTAAGTTTATGATGGTTGCAGATGAAATTCGCTTGCAGAAAATCACTTTGCACTTGTATCTTAGTTCTTATGTCTACCCTTGATATTGCAAATTACTTCCATTTATTGTGATTTCAAACACATGTTTTGAATGCTCTTTCTGAGAATTTAACATCAGCATCTCATAAACAACTGAATGAACAGACTTAGGAACTTCACAGCTTCTAAGACTGACCCTTTGTTTCTCACAGGACTTAACTTGCAGAGTCAGTTTAACCTGGAAAATGTCACTGTTTTCAATACCAATGAACACGAGAGCACTCTAGGACAGAAGGTGAAAATTCCTATATAATTTTTCGCTCATTCTGTGGGAAATGTGTAAGACTTTGCACAGTAATGCATTTCTGTGCAAACATATTCTGAACTGAATGTTCATAATTTGCATGTTCCTCTTCCAGATCAAGCTGCTGATTCTGGAAATAGGCATTACCTGGTACATTAAACTGCGCAGACTTTGGGGGGAAGAAAATTTCCTTGATTGTGAGGGATGAGCACTCTTGCTTAACTGTATTAAGTTTTTCCCATAGTGTGTGGAGGATAGTGCTGTCCCCTCAGCTTTTTTTCAGGAGAAGTCAGGCTACCATTGCAAAGTGTAGTAAGGTGTTAAAACAGGAATTTGCACACTTTACTGGATTAATACTTTAGAGATCTTTTGAATTACCAACTTAAGCTTTCTGATCTAAAGTGTAATAGAATGTTTAAGATAAAGAATGCCATGAAAACTGTATGTAAATTATAGCGATATTTGTATAATTTTACGGTTGGACTCAATCTTAAAGGTCTTTTCCAATCAAATGATTCTATGATTCTCTAAGTTTTTAATTATTTTTTCCTATTAGCACACTGAGGAGAGAGAAGAAGGAATGGACGTAGAAGAAGGTGAAATGGGAGATGATGAAGCACCAACAAGTTGGTGAGCTTATAGCAATTCAAAAAGCTGAAACAAAATTTTATAAGGTGAAAGTAAAGAGCTGTTTGGGAAATACCCTTAAAAGTAGTACTTGGACTTGCACTTAATCTCCTGTCCTCTCAAGATTAGATACAATCTAGCAGTGTTTTAATCTGTTTAAGTGGAAATGCCTGGAAAAAGAAAGAAGTTTACAGATTATTTGAAAAAGTTGCATACCCTGGCTGAGAATCACAGTTATTCTCTCTCTTTTTTTTTTTTTTTTTTTTTTTTTTTTTTTTTAACAATTTTCCCAATTATCTTGACAAAACTTGTTCTGGTAAGATGTATTCAGGGATTCTGAGTACGTGCTGTATATGCTTTTAGAAGAAAAAGCTGTGTTCCTCTTCATTCCCCAGATAGTAAGAAAAAGGGATTAAGAGTTTTACAGTATTTTTGCTTTTATGGTGAGAAAGTAACAGTAGACAGGATGGAAAACTCTTCTAGGGATAAATTCTGAATTACAAATTTCTCCGTAAGGGCTCACTATTGACTTATTTCACTTACAAAATTATTTCTTGGATTGCACATTCATGAGTGAACTTGAATTTAATATATTGCTTTCAATATGGGTTTTCGTAACCATTTTTTTTTTTTTCCCCAGTTCCATTCCAATAGATTATAACCTGTATAGAAAATTCTGGTCACTTCAAGATTATTTTAGAAATCCTGTGCAGTGCTATGAGAAGGTCTCATGGAAAACTTTTCTTAAGGTAATCTGAGTTCATGCTTTCAAGCATTTAGCTTGAGTAAAAATAACCATTTATACAAGTAGAGGAGTTACTGCATAAGCATAGAACAGTTCAACTGCTAATGCCGTTAAAAATAATAGTGCATGAGGAAATACATTTTGCTATTTTCTGAAGTGAGCCTTTGATAATAAACAGTATGTTAACATGTACAGTAAATCCCCTAATAAAACTTGCTTAAGTCGCTAACAGAAAGACTTCATATGTTGAAACAATGTCAGAAATACTTTTTCTGTGATTCATCAGCCGCAAAAAGCAGAACTTGCGGGTTTGGGCTCTTTTTTTTTTTTCCCCCAAGAAGAAAAATAGTTCTACCTAATCCTAGATCTTACTTTTGAATACTCATATTGATCCCAGTGGGATCCTAAAGATGATAGGTTTCTATTGAAACAAATCTCTTTATAGAAGCAATGACTCGAATGTCCCCTTCAGCCAGCTGTTTCAATTCTGCTTAGTATGAATGTCGAGGATGATTTATTGCTAAGCTACCTGTTTCTTCACAATTTGCCACTCACTGTTTATTTAGTAGCAAGAAGAATTTTTAATCTTCATTCTCTATGTTCTGGTAATAAGAGGTAACATCTGCTCAGACATTCTAATATAAATCTAGTTAATAAGGTCTGCATTCTCAGCTTTCAAAAAAAAAAAAAAAACCAAACTCTACAAAAAAACCTCATCATGTATGGTTCAGAGAAACTGAACAAGGCCAGGCTTAAGTCTTTCAGATGAAGTTTTTGAGTTTTGCTTTATTGCAGCTTTAAGGCCCTGAATTAAACGTGCAGTGCTGCTCTTAAAAAAAAAAGTCAACTCTCACTTACATACCTTTCTTTGTATATTTTCTGAACGACTTAAATTGAGTCCGAATATAGCGCTATGATCACATGGACCTTTTTTCTTCATAACATCTAAATAACAAAGCCATTGTGCACATGTCGCAACCCATAATACTGTTTTTCTTAGCATATTTTAAATACTCTAAATGATTAGATGCTCTGAAATTATAAATGACACTGTTATTTGTGGTGTTTAGAGAAGCCCAACACTGGTGGCAAATTGGTCTTGTTTTGACTGGCTGACAGCAAATTTAGAAATTATTTTACTTGCTTGGCATTATGTCTAGGGTAGTTCTCTAACTACAGAGTTTTTGTGTTATTTTCATGTGGTAAATAACTCTGTTTTATAGTACTCGGAAGAAGTTTTGGCTGTTTTCAAAAGTTACAAATTGGACGACACTCAGGCTTCCCGAAAAAAGTTGGAAGAACTAAAAACAGGAGGAGAACATGTATATTTTGCAAAGTTCCTAACCAGTGAAAAGGTATGTGATTTCTTTTCTCAGAAGTACAGACTAGTTGAGGTTGGAAGGAACTTGTGTCTAGTTCAACCTCCCTGCTCAAAGTTCTTGGCTAGAGCAGCTTGATCAACACTACGTCCAGTTGGGTTTTGAATGCCTCCACAGGTAGAGACTCCGCAGCTTCTCTGGGTATCCCGTTACCTTGTGTGGATTCCCTCTGTTAGCTGGTGATCCAGGGACTTTTATTTCTGGAATAAGCATCTGCAGTAAAGCTGACATTTTTTTATTGCATTTGATGTGTCTTATTACATTTAGAAAGGGAAGTTAAAAGAGAGTAAATATTTAAAGATCTATTGCTCTTTTATTGCCTTTAGAATTACATTTTCAAAACTTGGCTGATGATGTGTTAACTGTATTTTCTGCCTCATAATGGTCTTGTTTAAAATTTGCTTCTAGAAAGATCTTAAAGAGTTTTTAATTCTGTTAATATTAACTCAAAAATACAACAATACTGAATCCTGGTATTGTCATCTTCATTCTGGAATAACTTGTAACCTTAACTTTTAAATGCATGCATTAGCAGATGACAGAAAGCAAGTCTCAATGCAGCATGAATTTTTTCCTTCCGAGATAGAAGAGTAGGTAAATTCCTCTTAAGCCTTTGACCTGTGTATTGACAATTTTAAAATATCAGTATAGAAGATATAGAACCACTTGCTTAATTAACAGCCAGTAGTCAAAGGTGTTTTTCTTTAAAGAATCGTCAAATGTGTCCTTCGTATAATCTGTCGTGCTGCAGCATATAGGATAGAAACCAAGTGGTGTATCACTGTGCAAACGCTGATGAGAGTGAACCTTTCTGTGGTAACCAAACCCTTGTGTTATAGCCAGTAATGCATAGGAAAAGGGAGCAAGCTGTCCTTCAGTTACTGAAAAAAATGAGTATTTGTTTTTTCCAAATTCTTGTTTGCTTCAAAGTGAATGTTGTCATATCTAGCAGTATAAAACTAGTTAAGCAAAAATCTAGGGCTAAACTGTTTACTTTTACAAGCAGTCCCTCATGCTTTTAAAAAATGGATTCTATTAGAAATTTTGATAACTGTCTTTCCTAAGTTGTGCTAGATGACAGTTTACCAATCTTAGTACCTTATGGAGCACTGTCCTGATAGGTGATACAAAGTAGAGGTTCTGTAATGACTCACCATCATCTTGTTGTAGAAACAGTCCCCATCTAGTTATCTGAAAATGTGTTGGATTTTTTCGCTTATGCATGTTTAAGGTCTTTAAAACATATGCTTGATTCTTTTTGTTTGGGTTTTTTTTTGTTTGTTTAGCTGATGGATTTACAGCTGAGTGACAGTAACTTTCGCCGTCACATCTTGTTGCAGTACCTAATACTGTTTCAGTATCTAAAGGGACAGGTCAAATTTAAAAGGTAATGTGGAAATATTTTGTGTTCTTATCAAGCTTCCAGAGCCACATCACAGGATGTGGCTGAAATTATTTTACAGCAGGAAAGTCTTGCCTTTCTCTGTTCCTCTCTGCATGATTCTCTGCCCTTCCTTGCAGCGGCTCTAGTGTTCATTAGACTTAATCAAATTTGTGCAGCTTACTAAACCGGCAAAAAACCGATCTGCTTATCTTTGTAGAGTTAGTTTTTTGCCAAACTGGTGAGGCGAGTGAGGCCTCAGAGAAGCAGAGGCCACCAGAGCTTGTTGAAGGCCAGTGCCAACCATGAGAGGGAAGGAGTCCCTCTCTTTAGCAGCAGCAAGTTGTTAGACCAATGCAAGCTACTTGTATGGGGCATCATCTTGAATCTATATTGAGTCTGTGATGTGGTGTTGGTTGCTTATTTGTTTTTTTCTTGGTGTGCTACAGAATTCTGTCTAAAATAGCAAGAAATAACAACAGTGATCGTTGCTTTTATAAATTAATGGGACAGAACAAAACCCTGTCTCTTCCTACTCTGTGCTTCAAAGTTATCCTGAAAAAAATGCTGCCTCTCTGTTAATTTCCTGTGCCCTTTGACCACATGTGCACATAATGATTAATGTTTAAGGCAGCTGGCTTTCACCTGCAATGTACTACTTCTAAAATGCATCTCAAAGAATGTCGTGAACTAGATTAGGATCATTATCCTCATTCTGTTGTTTGTGTTAATTACCTAGGCAATCTGGTGGCAGGGAAGGAGAGGAATTCAGTTCTTCTGAGCTGTAGTTCAGTCCTGTAGAAGTGATAGTCAATTCTATGACAATTTATTAAACGGTTCATTAAAAGAATTAATGTTTTGAGATATTAAAGTTCTGTGTTCTGTATACAGCCAATAGATTGTTTCTTTTACTATGGTTTGTCTACAGTAGCACTTTAGCTGGTGGTAGGAGACGCTTGTGTTTAAGTAAGTCTCTTCATTGTGCCCACTTGCTGTGCTTTGGGTCCAGCATCAGAGTGATCTTGAATCATGCAAATGGTCTTCCTATTGGATGAAGCTAAACCAGAAAGTGTATTTCACAAACACACCTAACTCCACAAACTAATAAGTGGTCAGTCCATGAGACCAGAGCCCATCTAGACTACTCTCTTCAGATCCCCTCTAACACCCCTCAGAAAGCGTCTAGTATAAATGATGTGTCATCAGTTCTATTTTGATGTGTAGTAACCTCTTCAAGCTTTTTTTTTTAGTGTAAGCTGATTTAATGACACTTTTGTTGGTTTTTTGTTTCTGTCTTTTTTCAATTCCAGTTCAAACTATGTTCTAACAGATGAACAGTCTCTTTGGATTGAAGATACTACAAAAGCTGTTTACCAGGTTGGTACACTAGATACTTCTATAAAAATTACATGGAAAATTATTTATTGTGTAATATTGTATCAACAACCTTTCAAACAGTAACCACCATTTTCTTTGGGGTTTTTTCTATGCATGCTGCTACAAACATAATGCAAAAAGTTAATTTTTTTTTTTCTCCCTCCCAACCATAGCTTCTTTCAGAAAATCCTCCAGATGGAGAAAGGTTCTCGAAAATGGTAGAGGTAAGTACTTTGGTGCCTGTCTGAACAAAGTCTATATAGCGTGTAAAAAAAACAGTGTCAGTTTAAAGTAGCTTTTGGAACATAGATGTAATATCTCAGATAACTTCAGTCTCATGACAACTTTATTTTGTAGTCATATTTTTTCCCAGGTTTTCATTAATGTGCTTCTTCCTTCTGGGGAGAAATGGAAATGTGCACATATGCGCACGTGTATGTACAAGGAGGCATTGGTTATTAAAAAAAAAAAGTCTCTGCAGAAAGGAGTGCTGTGCCCGAAGACATAGGAATAAGATGCAAGTGAAACTAAAAAAGAAAAAAATTGTTGTCTTGCTTTCCTTTTTTCCTTTACTTTGGCTGCATCTATTTTCTTGTTTAGAGGAGAAATAAAGCCTTTCCCACAATTACTGAAGAGAGGAGATAAGCTTTTTTTGAATAAACTAAGCCAGCTGTCTAAGATTATACTGATGACCTTCAAAATAGTGGCTGAAAAACACACTGTAACAAAGCTTTTTCCCTTAATTTTAATAGCTCAATTAAAAACTTCAGTGTCAGCCCTGAAGGTAATTACAACCCTAATAATGTGCAATGTTATGTTTCTCCAGCATATATTAAATACAGAAGAAAACTGGAACTCCTGGAAAAATGAGGGCTGCCCAAGCTTTGTGAAAGAAAGGTAACTCTGCTGTGAAGCAGAAGCTTGCTGCTGCTTGTTTGAAATGGTGGTTCAACTTCAGAATACATACCCACGATGTATATGAATGTTAGTGATTCACACAAGTTTGAGATTTGTATAGTTGAATATCCCTTCTGTGTGTGCAGAAGACTCCTAGGCCAGAAATCTTCAGGCTTCATCATGTTAGTGAAGTGGTGGTTACACATGTGTGAGGGCTCGGGAGAGCATTCCTCACTGTCTCATGTCAATATTTTGTTCTCGTAATACCAAGGAACCATTGACTGAGGAGACTGAAATGTGTTGTCTCCCCTCCTGTCTTCAGCAGACCCTAGGTTGAAGAAGTTAGTGCCTGACTCGTTCATATACTGCTTTGGATTGCCTCTGGTGAAGCCTTTGGTGTTATGGCTTTGGTAGGGCAGCATACCTGGAGTTTTGTGTAACAGTTCTCCTCTTGCACACCTTACTAGGTTTGCCACTTGATTGTGATCGCTTACCTGAAAGGAAATTATGATTAGGTGGCTTTTGCCATTGAAAGGTTTCCTGTGTAGTTAGTTACTAACTAGTGGCAAAACTTGAGTTTTGACTCCATATGTCTACTTGACTATCTTGAGGCGGTGACCAGCATTTGTCTTCCACCCTTATTTATTCTACACACAGACTGTAGCCTTTTCTTGGTAAGGAGCAGCTGGGTCATTATCTCTTTGCAGGTTTCCTTTTATGAAGAGATCAGGTGGAGCCACCTCTTCATGACTTCATCTGTTTGCAAAAAAGGGAGGGGGGCTGCGAGAAGAGAGAAATTACTATTGTGGGAGTGGGGGGGGAAGTAAAACTATGAAATTTGACTTTTGTAAATGTTCTGTCTCCTCCTGTAGATCTCAGCCAGAGTTTCAGCTTGGGTAGGTCTTACCCTAACCTCAGTGGTCTGGGATCTCTGTTCTCTGATCCCATGAAATCAGGTGCACCTGGGGAAAGAGAACTTGCAATTGTAGAACAAATGATTCGCAGCAGCAGGGTAGAGCATACTTAGTATGTGCTACTGGCATAAATGTGATTTGCTTCTTTTTCTTTATTGGGACTCTGATAGACCTTTAAATCTGTGAGTGAACTAATTTTGGTGTCTGGCAAATCTTTTTCCTTATCCTTACTTTACCTTCTCTCTACTCTTCCCCCTCTCCCTCCTTACACTCCTAGAATCGCAGTCCTTCTGAATACTTTCAATATGATTTAACTTGGCACCAGCTGAAGTGAGATGGCTTAAATTTGTTCTCTAAATATTACTGCTTTAATATTAAAGAGTTGCTGGTTTGGTTTTTTTTTCTTTAGACCTCCTGATTCTAAGCCAATGAGGCCTGTGAGAAAGAGGCCAGCTCCAGAGGACTTCTTAGGGAAAGGACCAAACAAAAAAATCCTTATGGGGAAGTACGTGGATTTTTCTTTCTGGGTTTTGGTTAGTTAGCTGGTTTAAGGCGGTTTGTGGGGGATTATTTTGCCACTGATTTTTTTAATTTTTTTTTTCTAGTCAGTAATTTTCAATCTTCCTCACTTTGGAACTGTCAGGAAAGAACAGCCAAAGGATATGTCAGTTCTCTTATTCTCTTTCCCATTATTTCATTTATCAAAACAAAAGAGCCTGACCTTAGCTAGTTTGGAAAGAGAGTTTGTTACTCTTTCTGACCATAGATCAGCAAGAGATTATAGTAGAAATTTAATATGTAACTTTCCTAATTTGCAACATCGGATAAGATTTCTGTCCCTTCTGGTAATTCCTAATATGTATGTATCACAAAGTTTGTATGGTGTGCTTAATTATAAAAGCTCTGGGGTGAGAATTTCTGTAGCCTTGTTTCCTGTATCTGTCTTTGAATGGTGGAGCATGGAAAGGTAGAATGATGAGTGTGGAGTTTAGTTTGTGTTTATGCTTCTCTTTCCAGTGAGGAACTGACCCGCCTTTGGAACTTATGTCCTGATAACATGGAAGCTTGTAAATCTGAGAGCAGGTAGGTAAAAGATGGTACATCATTGTCTAAAGCTAACTTTCAGCACTCTAATGGCCCACAAAATTACAGTTATTACAAAATTGGCATAATGAAAGTGATCTTGCATGGTATGCCGTGCCACTGTGTGTCTTGAGAGAAGTTGATTGTATGAATCCTTGTCTTAAAATCTCCTTACAGTTTTCTTCACTAGTGTCTATGCTGTCAGAATTTTCATTGCTTAGTAAAGTAAAATCTAAGTTCAGATCCAGGTGGAAATTCCCATTTTGTAGAGCACAACTGTATAATTAAGTATTTTGTATAATAAAGGAAGATTGCCAAGTCTGGATGTAATGAAGTTAGTGTGCTATTTGGCTGATTTTTGAGCAGGCGTGTGCTTTGAAAATACCAGATAAGAGGAAATTGGCTAGCAGGCATTGTTTCAGTCCATACCGGATCTACTAGTGGTGCGGACGCAGAAAAATACAGCTATTGGTTATCCTTCTGCTGCTGCTTGCACAATTGTAGGAAATACTGAAAGCGTACTTGGCTAGAGAGCTTTCTGTTTGTTAAAGGATAGCATAATCCCTTTTTGTGCAGACACGGTACCTAGTATGAAAACTTGGAGAAGGAATGGGACAGTTCCCAAAGAGAGCTTTGCTAGTAGTGGCTGCAAAGGCTGGATGCCTGGGGAGAGGTGCTAGCTGTGCAGGTGTCCTGAGTGGAGGGATTGTTTTTCTGGAGGCTGAGAGCTCTGCAGAGGAGCACCTTCCTTTCTTGTGAGGCTAGGATGTGCAGGACGTTTGCCTTTACTGGGCCAAGGGCTAAAGGTGGAGTTGTGTTTGGAACCAAAGCTTGTGATTTCCCTGTATGTGATTGTATTGTGCTGCAACTTCTTTAAATTAAAAAAAAACCAAAAAACCCCACCCTAAAAAAAGTGAACAAATGGAGATAAACCAAGAAAATGTATGCCGTGGTAAACAGGAAAGAGAAGATTCCGAGGAATCTGGATTCAGTTCCAAGTTTTATTACAGACTTTGTTACTGAACATGCTCAAGTGACTCTAACTTTTTGCTTTGATTCCTCATGTCTTCATTCAAATGGGGTAATTACTTCTTACCTGTTGTCTTTTTAGGTAGCTGTTCTTGGGATAGAATCTTTCATATAAGTTTTTGCCTAGTGCCAAATATAGCAGGATTCAAATCGGATGGGTTTTTGAGATGCTGGCTTTGGTTCCAGTGGTCACTGATAAACCTATACTTAAACGTGCATGGGGCACTGCTTTCCTGGGCAAAACATGTTTTTCAAAACAAAACTAAAATGAATTTATAGACCAGTGAACTTCCTGCCCACAACTGATCACTAGGTTCCCTTGCAGGAACAGATGCGTCTCTGTCAAACGTTTGGTAGGAGAAATACAGGTCATTATGAGCTCACTTTACACCGCCAGTAATCTTGCCTCACAGTAGCCTGCAGCTCTTAAGTAATCTTTATTTCTTGCTTGTAGTGTTCAAAGCAGCGAAATCCTGATCATTGTGAATATTTCTGTTATTTTTGTAGGTCATGGTTCCTTATGTACTGGTTTGAATACCTTTCAGAAGCAACCGCTAGCTGTTCTAAGAACAGAAACATCAGTCGCCTTTTTAGTATGTCCCGTATGAACCACATATCTTGTCTTTTAAATCACAGAAGAGCTGAGGTTGGAAGGGGCCTCTAGAGATCTCCTAGTCCACCCCCCTTGCTCAAAGCAGGGTGAACTAGAGCAAGTTGCCTAGGACCTTTTCCAGCTGGGTTTTGAATGTCTCTCCAAGAATGGAAGCTCCACAGCCTTCCTGGCCAACCTGTTCCAATGTTGGACCACCCTCGCAGAAAAGCGTTGGGGTTTTTTTTTTTCCTGATGCTGAATTTCCTGAATTTCAGTTTGTGCCAGCTGCCCACCCTCACAGAAAAGCGTTGGGTTTTTTTTTTCCTGATGCTGAAGTTGAATTTCCTGAATTTCAGTTTGTGCCAGCTGCTGTTTGTACTTTCACTGGGTAGCACAGAGTCTGACTCTTTCTTCCTTACTGCCCCTGAGCCTTCTCTTCCCTGGGGTAAACAGTCCTCGCTCCCTCAGCCTCTCCTTGGGTGTCAGACATTCCTGCCCGTGCACAGCCTTTTGCATGGACCTGCATCTCTGGTGCTGGGGAGCCCAGAGCTGGACCCAGCGCTCTGGGTGTATCTTGCCAGTGCTGAACAGAAGGGAAGGATCATATCCCTTGACCTGTTGGCAACCCTTTTCCTAATGCTGCTTCCAGGATGCTGCTGGCTTTCTTTGCCAGAAGGGTGCATTGTTGGCTCATATTCTTGGTGGTATCCACCAAGACCTTTTCTGCCCAGCTGCTCTCCAGCCCAGTCTTCAGCATGTACTGGTGCCTGGGGTTGTTCCTTCCCAAGGGCAGGACTTTGCATTTCCCTTTTCTGAACTTTGTGAGGTTCCTGTCAGCCAAGGCCTTCTGGTCTGTGGAGGTCCTTCTGGTCTGTGGAGGTCCCTCTGGATGGCAGCACAACCCTCTGGTCTATCAGCCACTCCTCCCAGTTTTACATTGTCAGCAAACTTGCTGAGGGTGCCCTCTGTCCCATCATCAGTAGGTCAGTCATGAAGGCGCTAAACAGTGCTGGCCCCACCATTGAGCCTATGCTAGTGACAGGCCCCCAGCTGCACTTCATGCCACTGATGCCAGCTCTTCCAGCCCAGGAGTTCAGATGCTTTCAGTCTGCTTCAGATAAATCAACTTCTGACACCTGTAGGCTTAGACCTGTAGTGAATGTGCTTTAGCTGCAGTACCTTCAGCGGAAGGTGCAGGGATCACCATGGGGGGGTGAAAGGAACGTGTTTGAGCAGGTTGGGGAGACAGTGAGACGGGATCATTAAGTACAATGTTAAGCTGCCCAATCTTTTTTGCCTTCTAAAATTAATGATCATAAATAATTGAAATTGGGGAGTAATAATAGTTGAGCTTTCTCTGGTAGCAGCTGAAGCTGAAACGGGGAGGGTGGGGGTGTAAAGAAGCCACGTTTTACTTGTCCTGTCCAGTTGCACAAAACTAGCAACCATTTTAGATTCTTGAACTGTTATTTTTTTCCTTATTGCTGGAATTCTTGTCTTGGGTCCTGTAGTTCCTTTTCATCGAATGCTATTGACAGATGTTCATGTCACCTTCTGGTATGGCAGAAGGTTTAAATGTGTGTAACGGGCAGTGCTAGTGACCACTGGTGCGCTTCAGTGGTTATGCAGGAAAGAATTTCATAGCAACGTGTATCGAACATTCTTCACTTATTTGCAATGGTCAAATTTGAGTAGTTTGGGTTTGGGGTTATTTTCTTCTGTGGATAAGCTTGAACTGTGTATGAAGGAACTGAGAGCCAGTGATTTTTGGAGTAGATTGTGAGGGGTATTAAGCCTCTAATTTTTTTTTTTTTTTTTTTTTTAGGGAATATATGCCAACGTTGGAGGAATTTTTTGAAGAAGCTATTGAACAAGCAGATCCTGAAAACATGGTTGAAAATAAGTACAAGTATGTCGGTCTTTGTGGTGTTTTGCTTTGTTTTGATTTCTTTCATGTTTGGACTGTTAAAGAAAACAGACTGTTCTCTGTATTACCAGTATCTGTACAGGACTCCAGTAATGTACAAAAAATGTATGAGTTTGGACAGAAATGTATTAATTAGGAAATGACTTGGATCTCTTTCTGTGCTTTTCTAGATGATGGGCTGTTACCAACCAAACTTGTCTTTTATTCCAGGGCTGTGAACAATTCCAACTATGGCTGGAGAGCGTTGAGACTTCTAGCTCGCAGAAGTCCCCACTTCTTCCAGCCAACAAACCAACAATTCAAGAGTTTACCTGAATATCTAGAAAACATGGTAATCAAATTAGCCAAGGAGCTACCTGTAAGTAATATTATCCTATCATAATAAATGCTGAATTCATTTGACTTCCTGCTTGTCTCTCTGCAGTCCATTTGGTACGTGGGGAGGGAGGGGGCAAAAAAACACAGCAAGAAAAAAAATAAAGAGCTTGTAAGATAAAAATTGCAAGTAAGATTGGTCTAATCAGTGAAGATGCCAGTGATGCGCTGAACTGCGAATAACACTGACTAACGAAGTAACTGCTGAGCTCTGCCTCGTGTTCTGTGAACAAACGGCTGTGGCGACCCCGAGTGTTTCTGCTGGGTTGGCAGGCAGGAATATATTTGTACCCAGCTATTGGAGTTCCCTGTGGCAGTGCAAACCACTTCTGTTGAAGGTGTAAGCCGGTGTTGGGGCTCGTGAGTATCGGTAGCTGTGGCTACCGGGATGGCAGCCCGTAGCAAAGGCGCGGGGCAGGCAGCTGAAGTGTTACCGGAGCTTTACAGCAAGATTTACCTGAGCTCTTCTATTAGCCCCCCTGACTTTTAAAATGTGGAAAGAAAAACCTTGTGGAGCTCTAAATCCAAGGTGTTAACCCTTTGCTTGTCCAGCAGTACAAATTTGAGGCCGGGGAGGGGTCTTTCGGATCATTTTCTACACAAGGATGAGAGAGACTAACAGCTGGGGAAGGGAGCAGTTTCTAAACCTTTGAGTTAGTGCAGAACCCAGGAATTTCTTGCAGCTGTGAACCCGTGCTTCCCTATTTGAGACCTTCCTTGCCTGTGATGTGAGACCTCTGAGATGTCAAGACTGTAATATATAGCTTTTTTGCTTGTTCAGCCATCAGAGTTAACTAGATGCCAATAGCAACTCTAGGAGAAAAGACTGGGAGGGGAAAGCTATTTAATGCGGTACTGCTGTTGGGTACCAAATGTTACAGCAAGAAAAAAATGCGTAGGTGAGGCCTGTGACTGGAACACAGGAAAAGCAGCAGCTTTTTGTTCATCTTGGTGGATCAATAGCTAAATCGGAGCGTGAAAAGTCTGTTTGCTTATTTGTTTGCCACTTTTAACTAGCATACAGGGACTTCAGTTTGAAAGGACGGAAAACTTTGAGGAATTCCTGAGTGAGGAGTAAAATTCATGAGGAATAATAACTTTTTTAAAAAATTGTTTGTCAGTCAGGTTTGGGGTTTTTTTGGGGGGGGGTGTGGTTTTTTGGTTTTTTAAGTATTACAGCTTTCTATCTAATACTTAGTTGTAGCTACTGTGAAAAGAATGGGAGAGAATCCTGTGAAGTCAGTGGATGCTGTCATCGGGGTTCTTTAGTTAATACTGTGTTTTACTGGAACTTCTGTTACTGGTGTTTTGGATATGAGAGACTGGGCGGCGGGGGGGGGTGGAATTTTTAATTCTCATATGGGATCATGTCAGATTTTCCATTCTAACACACATTCCAGGCGCCATCAGAGAGCTGTAAAATTTCTCTTTAAACACAAAATTCATCCAGTGATGTTTAGTTCTCTCATTGTAGCCTCCTTCTGAAGAAATAAAAACAGGCGAAGATGAAGATGAGGAAGATAATGATGCTTTATTAAAAGAAAACAATGAAAGTAAGATTTGCATGTTCTCAGTCTTTTCAGTTTCTCTCTTGATGTGTGTTGTAGAAGCTGAGTTTTATCATAGTTTCTACTGAGGGTCACCAGTCCCGGTTACCCCAGTGCTTCTAACTTGAACCCATGTTTGTACCAAGAAGCGCAGCCTTCCCAGGACAGGGGGCACCACTAGCAGCCTCTCGGTCTCATGGCCTGCAGTGCTGAAAGCGTCCAACTCCTTGAAGTTGGATTAGCACTTCCATTAGGAGCCTCTTCCACCTTTTCTGCTGTGGAGAGTATGTTTATAGTGTCAGTAGGTGTGGATAGTGAAAATGCCAGCACTGCTGTGTAACAACCTACCCGAGTGCTCCTCGCCCCACTTTCCTGTTCTTTTTGCCCTTTAAAGTGCCTCCCTCTGGCCCCTGCTGGGGTGAGTAGTTACGGGGTTTCAGAAATGGATATATTCCAGCTCTGAGATCTTTACTTCCTCTTCATTTAGGATATTTTGAAGGGCACAAAAGCTTCTCTCTGAGAAGAGCAACCTTCCTGACAAATACCATCTCGTGGTGTTCTCCATGAAGCAGTCCTTCCATTTGTGCCTCTTGCCTGGTGTGTTGTGTTCCCAAGTGTCCTTCCCTGCCTCCAGTGTCTATGAATCTGCCTTCCATCCTCATCCGTGCCTTCGTCTCGCAGCACCTTCTCCCTCACGTGTTGTATCTCTGTGTGCTAGCTCTTGGATCCAGCACGGGCAGATCCGGAGTACACAGGGTGCGGAACTGGCGTGCCTGGGTACTGCTGGTTACCCATGGGCTTTGTGACTTCGTTGAAAGACTTTTTGATTATTTTTGTTATTATTATTTTCTTAATGTGAGCAGAAAGGCTTCTCTGTGCCTCTTTGAATCTCTCTTCTGTTGCCCCTTTCCATCCAGCACCTGACCTTTTAGCACAGTCTCCGTGCCAGTAGTGGAGAAGTTCTCTCCAGCTTAACGCTGCCTGAAGCAGCCTTCGGAGCTTCACTGGTGTTGAATTTGCATCTTTCTTTAAATCTTGCCTTACAGCAAAGATGGGAGAGCTGTGGTCCTGCTATACACCGTGGGGCCCTAGAAATAATGGAAGTGATCCGAGTGCTTTTGTTGTTTGGTTGTCTGTGATCTTCTGTTCTTTCCCCTCGATGTGGTGGGCTTAGCTTGGGTAAATGAGCGTGACTGCTGGAGAGAGGTGAAGCTCCCAATCTGTGCCAGCTGGCTCTTCAGGTGGCATGAGGGCAAGATATTTATTAAAAATTAAGAATATGATTAATCTCTATGCATAAGTAATTCAGTCTTCAGGGTTTGGTTTTTTTCTTTAAAACAGTGTGAAATACACATAGGTGGTAAGCCACAGATTGTAGGCCGTGATAAGGTATAAATGTGGAAACCCCCCTGTGTAATCACTGCAGCACTTGGCTTCTCAGCAGAGCGCAGTATTCCATGGGGTTTTTTGGTTGATGTTGGGGTTTTTTTAATCTTGATGCCAGAATGACAAAATTCCTTCAAGTGCCAAGTATGTATTGAAGTTACTGTCCTATTCACAGTCCTGCTGCGAACAGGGGCGTGAGGCTTTAGTAACTCAGTAAAAGGGAAGCAAGCTATTTTTCAGCTGGGTTGACTCCACATAAAGTGATTAAGATAAGTCCAGAAGGCAATTAGATGTTAAAGATCACTCTATTTTAATATTGTAGTTGACTCGTGCATTGGAAAATTGCAGGCTACCTGTCCAAATCCTTGTTTTCGTTTGGAGGAGGCAGTTCTGATGTATGTCAAGGCTTTAGCAGTTCTCTCTCAGTCAAACAGGAGATCAAGAAAATCTCATTTTTTTACATATCGTGGGCAATAAGGGATGTTCCTCTTGAAACCCAGGCAGTACCTCTGTAAAAATCCATCTGTTCGCAGAGCTCTTGAGTAGGTTTTCACATCTATCGGAAGGGCGTCAGTCAGTCTGTTAGTACACAAATAGGAGGTGTAAAAAGGGGCAGATCAGGGAAGATTCACGTGCAGTAGCTGGAGATGTTCCCTGTGTCTCGCTGTGATTAATGGTTTTTGGTGGCTCTTTTTTTTTTTTTTTCCTTTCCCCCCCCCCCCAGGTCCCGAGGTGCAACGGGACAAAGCCATGACGGGCGAACAAATCGAGTCATTTGCTATCAGGCTTGGGGAGCAGTGGAAGGCCTTGGCCCCCTACTTGGAAATGAAGGATTCTGACATACGGCAGATCGAGTTGGACAGCGAGGACATGAAGATGAGAGCGAAGCAGCTGCTGGTCGCCTGGCAGGATCAGGAGGGCGCCCACGCAACCCCGGAGAACCTGATCGCTGCGCTGAACAAAGCTGGGCTAAGCGACCTCGCGGAAAGCCTAAGCAACGATGCCGAAAGTGGCAGCTAACTCCCTTCAGATGCCAGCTCGGGGTGGTGGGGGCGGTTACTGCAAATGGTGACTGTTCTGGCTGTTGTGGTGACTGTTTTGGTGGCTGTTGTCAGTAATTGTTACTACTGTTGCTAGGTGACAGAATTTTGATAGGTATTTTATGTTCAATAAATGATAAAAACTTTTTAATAATATTTTTTCAGTTGTCCATGCTTTCTGAGAAAAGGAGTAGTCATCCTGATGCACAAATGGGAAGCTTCATCGTGGATGGTGGACAGGTAAAAGGGAGGATGGAGAGTGAGGGCAGCTTTCTGTGCAGGGGGAGGGTTTGGCAGCAGCAGTGCTGGGGCAGCTCCTGTGGGACAGAGCGGGCCATGGCCTCTGGAACCACCTGCTGTCCCCCTGGGGTCTCTTGGAGCAAGGAGAAGGAGAAGTGAAGGACTTTGTGTCACCACCTGGGGTGGTGGGCAGCTGTAGACCAGCACAACAGTACCTGGTTGCAAGTGATGCCCCTGGGACCTCTGTCACAACCCAGTTATTTTCTCCGAGTCACAGCATTTGTCTTCACAGCAGAACTGGTGGCCCCAGGGGGCTGCTGTGGCCAGAAAAAGCTGAAGAACCTGTTCTGTTCTCTCTGTACACTGACAGTCAATAATCAGGGGGCGTTTCTATGCGTGTTTTTATTTGTAATGACTAACTTCAGTTGCTGCATGTGTTTGGCCATGTAGGAACAACCCTGAGTTGTGATAAACAAGGTAAATTTTTCCTCCCTGCCCCCCCAGTTCACTCTGAAGCGACAACTGGTTTCCTTTTAAGGCTATGACTGTCCCTTGATGGGTACAAGCTGTTGCATGTAGCTGGATCTGTTTGCCCCAAAGCGGGAAATTTTTTGTGGTGGTGTCACTACCTACCACTTATTTTGTGATGGTTTCTTGCAGCATTTGTGTCCAGTAAAAAAAAAAAAATCTGTTTGGGAGACTGTGTGTCACAGAACTTTTCCCTGCAGAGCATTGTTTCAGTAACTAGCTCCTACCTGTGAAGTTCCAGGGCAATGAGCTGCTGCCTTGGAGGGGGAATTCCTGGCTGCAGAGCTGTTGATGAGCACCTTGTGCCTGCTTTGGATTTAACTGTATGAGGAATGTGATTTTTCAGGTGCTTTGGTGAAAGTTGGCATGGGCTGATACATGGGACAGCTGTTGGAAACAACACAGCCTCGGTCTCACCTCCTGCTGCAGGTACAGTTTGTCATTTTGTGTGTGGAGGAGTCCAATTTTTTTTTTTTATTTCTGTGTCATCAGACAAGTATGACCTCATCAAAATGTGACAGCACTTGTCTGGCCCTCAAACAGGCTTGGAATTAGACCCACCTGGGAGAGATTGGGATGGTGAGGAGCCCTATGGCCCCTTCAAGCTGCAGCTGGATAGAGCTAGGCAGCCTCTCCCCTAGAACCGGGGGTGCTGGGGTTGTAGACCCACATGGCCCCTGCTTCTTTCCCCCGTTTATCAAGTGTGTTGCCCCTGTGAGACGAGGTGTGGTTACAGTTGTCAGATACAATCAATGCCTACATCTCAAAATTAAGAGAAAAACCAACAACAGCAGAACTCTGCTCCCTCACATGAGACAGAACAAGCCTTTAAAAACAGGGGAGCCTGCACTGTTTCCATGGGGTACACAGGAACAAAGTCAGCACCACCCTGGGGCGTCCTTAGCAGGTGGAACTTGCCTTTAAGCATCATCCATCTTTCCCAGGGGAAGCTGTGGGGCAGAGGCAGACAAGCCAAAACCAGCCCCCCCCGTTGTAAGGCAGCAGAATGACTGCTGTCCTCAGGGGAGGGCACAAGGGGGCTCCTTTCTGAGCAAGCGAGGCACAGTTACACTCACCCCATGGTCACTATTAGTGAAGATACAACTGAAGACATGTGAACATGGACTAGCACCAGTACAGCTCTCCCTGAAGGGACTGGGAAATGTTAAAAACCAGGTTGAGTTCTGCTGATGGCCTACTGCTTTCCTGACTTTGTTACTGCAGCCTCCCGCTAGCATACAGCTGCTGTGCTCCTGTGGGGAAGGAACACAAGTTACTGTAAGTAAGCAAAGCCCAGCTGTGCAGCCACCATACCACATCTACCTACTGAGTAAAACCTAAGAGGACAGGAGGTAATCCCTACAGCTTAGGAAAAAAGCAGCTTTGTTACGTGACTGCTTTGAGACATTCCTCAGTGGTGGCCCAAGAAGTGAAATACAAACACAGACTAACTCAGCTACTGAGACATGAATTTTTTTTTTTTTTTTTAATGGAGACACATTGTTGATCACAATTTATTTCGAAGTCATGAGATGCCAGCAACAGAACAGACTGAGTCAGCAGGTCAGGCTGGACAAACACTTGATTGTAGCCGTGGTGGTTGGCTATGGGCAGCAGCACTGAGTTACGCAACAAGGCAACAGTTTCTCTTCTACCTTCCTAACGCCACTGCCAGGTAAGGCGAAGGATGGACAGCTATTGAACTGTGGTATAAACCATGCAAGAGTAACAAATGTGAGAATAGGTGTGTAATAAATACTTGATGACGTTAGGGGTGGGGAGGGGGGGGGGACAGGCTTATTTTAAAAAAATTACCTTCTGCAAGACATTAAAGCTATTTTAAGAATTGTCACCACCACACTGGGCAGTCCGGTCCCATAGTGACTAATTGGTACATGGATCAGTTTTAAAACAATATCCCTCTTCCCATGAAAAGGTTTGAACAGATTATTTATCCACTTGCTAAAGCGCTGGGGTTAAAGAAGTGATCGGTAATCAACATTTATTTCACACCTAGGCAGAATGACTAAAACTGAAGACTACTGTTTGGCTTCATCTTCAATTACTTCAATTCTGCGAGGCCCGTAGAGTAGAACATAAGCTATATGCCAGTCTCCACCCCCAGATAACCTCAAAATATCATCAGGTGTAACGATGCTCACTTTGTCATCATCAAATTTAATCCATTCATCTGCAAGAAAAAGAAAAGGATTATTTGTAATTTAGGTACACAAAATCCAAGCGTGCTTAACAGCCCCTTAAATAAAAGGTGATTTAACAGGGCTATAATTTTCTTTTTTTACCTTGTTTCCTTTTAACCCAAGACACGTAATGCCCAGAGGAACTTGATCTGCCTTGATGTGTTAGCACTGCCTGCAGGTCGTAATAGCCACAATTATTAGAACCAATATCTGCAGGAAGAGGGGGAAGAAAGTTACACCAGTCTTACATGTACAGTTTTAGCATTTTTAGCAGCAGGCAGACCAAAGACGCATTAGCCATACTGTGGCACGGCAGCTGTGTAAAACCCTCTTTGCAGCACGGTTCTCAGTCACTGTAAACTAAAAGCAGCGCCTTTCAGCCAGGATGGCCCCTCAGGACATAAATATGTATCTTGGGTGTAATGCAAACGCAGTAAAGCTTAAGGCATCAGAGCCCTGACATATGGTCAGTAAACCTTCTGGACAGGTTTGGCCAATACTTCTGTTCTGATTTTGGCTGGGACAGAGTGAATTTTCTTCCTAGTAGCTGGCATAGCGCTGTGTTTTGGATTTAGCATGAGAATACTGTTGGTAACTCACTGATGGTGTAGTTGTTGCTAAGCAGGGCTTACACCAGTCAAGGACTTTTCAGCTTCCCCTGCTCTGCCTGGTACACGAGAAGCCGGGAGGGGGCACAGCCAGGACAGCTGGCCCCAACTGGCCAAAGGGCTATTCCAGACCATATGATGTCATACTCGCTCCACATATAAAGCTGGGGGAAGAAGGAAGGGGAGAACATTGGGAGTGATGGCGTTTGTCTTCCCAAGTCACCATTATGCCTGACAGACCCCTGCTTTCCTGGGGATGGCTGAACCTGCCTGCCCATGGGAAGCAGTGAATGAATTCCTTGGTTTGCTTTCCTTGCACACACAGGTTCTGCTTTGCCTATTAAACTGTCTTTATTTCAATCCAAGAGTTTTCTTACTTTTACCCTTCTGATTCTCTCCCCCATCCCACCGGTGGGGCGAGGGAAGTGAGCGAGCAGCTGCGTGGTGCTGAGTTGCCGGCTGGGGTTAAACCACAACACCTTCCTTCAAACACCACCTGCCCCCTGCATTCAGGGCGAGCCACGAAACCGCACGGACTGAGGTGCTGAGCGTGAGCTGGACGGCAACGCTGCTCAGAATGCTCAGATGTGACAGATCAACCCACCCCGCAGTTAGTTCAATTACACTATTCAATTTTTCAGTGGAAAAACGTGGCTCATTCCGAACGTACCGAGAAGGGTGTCACAGTTAAGATGCGTTGGGGACTGCATTTCTCACGCTCCAGAATATCCCGCTGTCACTGTGCTCTCGAGCTAGCTGACCCCCTCCCCCCTGCCTTCTCACATAGTGCGTCACACGGAAACCTCAGGAAGTACCAAATGGTAATGGTTTGGATAAACACGACCTCCAAAATAATTTCTGCACAAGGGAGAATGCTGAGGACATGCAAGCTCTAAGCCCCCCCTAATTAAGCAACGCTAGCACCACCACAGCAGTTTTACAAGTCCAATTGAAGTTTTTGATTTGATTTTGGCTTTCTACCACCCACTGACAAGGAAGCATACAAAACAACTGCACATGACATGCAAATGCCTTTTGATGCATGTGTCTGTGTATCATCAGCTTGACAGATGGATGACAATTATGTCTTTGACTATCTCAACAGCATTTTGACTTGCCTCATCTTTCCATTCCTTAAATTTCTGTCAGTTTCTGAAGCTTAATTTTCAAAGGCATTAAAAATAACAAGGGTTCTCAAAATATTCCTACCATCAGGTCCACTTAAATATAAATAAGTGGAAGTTACTTGAAAATAGGTATTTTACTTCCCTGTACTTACCATCAGGAAAAGAAAACGGTTCATATTTAACTTCTTTCTGTGCACCATCACTTTTACTAGACTAGAGAACAGAATATGCTGAATTAATGGTTTTGAGAAAGCTTTAGCATGATCATATCAAATACCAACTCTCCATTCATTTAAAGATGTCTCTAAATCTAAACATTTTTTGTTCAACTTGAAACAAGTTCCATTAATGTATTTCTAGCTGGACATCCAAAAGCCTAATCTAATTAAGACCACTTTTTAAAGCAAATATGTAATAATTTTAGCACATATTGCCTGGACTGTTTACCCACCAGATTTACAGGCTTGGAGCACAAAAATAATTCTGCAATTAAAGATTTTATTCCTTGTTAGGGACTTGCTAGCAGCAGAAATGGCAACAAGAAAAGACCAGACACAGACTCCTAAATGCCAATACATTCTGTTTTAAAACGGCTCTTTCCTTGCTCCTAACTGTGTAAGAGATGCAAGCCTTGTTCAAATGTTTAAATGAAACTGCCAGGAGTTAGGCCAGGAAAACACTAGCGAACTTAGAAAAATTTTGGCTAAAACACTACAGTTTTAGCTCATTTACTTTTTTCTTCATTAAAGGAAGGGAAGTCAGAATATGTAGACAAGGTAGGAGATGAAACCATTTAACAAGTTTTGAGAGTACAGTCTTCAGCTCACTAGTACGTATATTCTACATTTCATCAGTCAGACACATAGTAGTCCCTTGTACAACCCTCTCCAGTTGGTGAGCAGGCAAGAGCTACTTACAGACTGCCAAATAAGTGACCTGCCAGCAAGCAATAATGTTTCAAGAGAATAATTTCGTGCAATTCACAGACCTTTAGGCGTAACACTGGTAAGCAGAAGCACTACACTTTAACATATTTTGAAATAAAAGTGTAAGCAATGTGTTTGTCTACAGCATTTAACATTTCTCATCCAGCAGTCATACCAAAGCAGATACTGTATTTTCATGACAATATACAAAAAAAGATCTACAGCTCAATACCAAGAAGTTTGAATGCTAGTAAGAAAAATATATAAATTTAAGGAAGCCAAGTTTTCTCTAGTCCTTATTGGTACCCCAATTTCAGATTGAGGACTTATTTAATCAAAACGTCCATGAAATTGCCGGAAGACTTACGTTCTTTGGCTGTTGATTTACTTTTTTGTCTTCTAGATCTTTGAATTTTGAACGATAAGAAACCATTTTTTCCTGAAGGTCTGGCGTACACAGCTCATACACATCCAACATAAGAGGAAATTTAACATCCTAGGAAGAAAAAAGCATAAGGATGATTCGCATTATTTGGTACTCCACATTAAAGCGTTCTCCCATGGGAAGACAACACTAAGTCCAATTAAATGCAACTCTCATCATGTTCATGACAACTTCATCTACTGAAATGTTGCTGCCAGTACTTCCCTAAAGGGCTACAATTCTTTCACAGAAGACTGATTCATTGTAAACAAACCATCAGAAATTACTACATTCAGTATAAATACTTAAGATTCTTTATTATTAGCCGTCATACTTTCATACTACGGAAATACCTATGCAGGCCTAAGGGAAAAAAAAAGCACATAGAATGACTGCACACTTGCAAAAATGTCTATTTTTGTTACCCAAACAATCTTCTAAAACAATTAACATGTGCCTTTAATTTTTATTTCCTTGCTTGTCCTGTAAGGAACAGGCTTCACCTATCATGACGCTTCCTGGGCAGCCCAGGAGGTCCATCACCCAAGGCCGACAGAAAGGAAAACTCTAACGTTTAGCTGTTTACAGCTGGTTCTTGCATTTGTCAATCAGAAAACCAGACAATCAGAATAACTAATACAGGAAGCGTTTGCTAGTATAAACATTTCTCATCAACTTTAGAACACTGTCCAGTGACTGAAAGCATGGCCCTCTCCTTAATTAAACATTCTCCTCTGAACCACTGGTGAAGAGAGACCAAAAACCATCCTAATGGTATTGGAGGAAATTCATTTCTGTCCCTTACCTCCTCCCCCAGTCTCTATTTTGGTAGCATAGTTTGCCCCACATCATCACAACTGGGAACTAACCTATTTTGTACTTCAGCAAAGAAACTGCACTATTAATGTTTTTAAATGCAATTTAAAAGCAAACAATTTAGTAAATAGCCTTCAAGTGTTAGTTGTCTACCTATAATAAAAACTCACTGAAAGGCATAAAGAGGAATTAAACTTCAATATGCAGAAAACTTACCTTAAGAACTTTGGCATTCACAGATTCTTTCTCTTTGTAAAAAAACCTAACCATCTGAATAGTCAGGTACGCTGGCAAGCGACTAATTTTAGACTGTGGAAAAAAAAAAATAATCAGAAAAAGCTATTACTTTAGATATTCACGGATCTTTTATACCTGAAACATTGTTCATCCTAGGTTACAGGCTGTTCTGGAAATATATTTGTACACAAACACATAGGAATACAACAAGGCCTCCCTATTCTGCATCTCTGTACAGTAGCGTACACAAAGAAACAATTTTCAACTGGTCTTAAAATTTTTTGGTAGTGGATATTCAGACACTTTATAAGTACAAGTCACATGCTGTTGCAGCAGTAACTGTGTTTTGGGACAGAAAATTGGCAACAGTTAAAATAATCATGAAGAGAGCAACAAAAGCACCACTCACAGATTTGATATAGAGTGCATTTCTCTGCAGTGTTGGAGAGAGTTTGGTGATTTCCTCTTGAAGACGCTGTTAAAAAAAAGGTAACAACACATACGTTCATCATAAACCACAGCTTAAACAAAAACACAGCATGGATAAACAAGCCATCAACTAAATCTTGTTCTACAATCTCTTCCATTGCTATCAGCCACTAAGACACACAGAATTTGAAATTCCTTGGCAGAAAGACCACACCCATTCATTTGTTCAGCTCTGGGCTCATTCCCGAGTCCTGAAAACACCAAGTTTCTCTCTGCAGAAAATTTTATTCTACGAGAGTAGAACTTGCAACTTAAATATCTGGATTTGGTTACGAATGTGTCACATCTGGTTGGAACACAACTAAAAGAAAAAAAACCCTGAAGTTTCTTGTGACAGGAATATTTGCGCTTTTCTCGCCTCTCAGCCTAAAGCAGAGCCGTATATAAGGAGCCAGGTGGTGATACTGTGCTTCCAGGGACCTTTCCAAATTCAGGGAAGGACTGACCTGGTTGTTAGTGTTGTGACTCTCTTGCTACGGGCAATCCAGTGTAACAATTCTAGAAGGCCCCTTCTGGCCTGAAAGTGAGTTTTCTTTTTTCAAAATCTTTATAATCTCTGAGCATTAACTATTTTATTTTACTTTTGATTCTAAATTTTGTCAAAGCAGAAAAAGCAGAAACAAAGACTATCTGAGAACCATGCAACTTGGTCCGGTCCTGTACAAACCAGATCTCTGCTTCCATCCCCGCTCTTACAGAAATACTCTGCAAGAGCAGTTACTACAACAACTAGCAGTACTATAATAAGGTTTTTGTAGTAGCTCCTCTCTTTGCTCCTTCAGATTCTCAAAAAACCCCTGAAAACTTAGAAATATATATATAAAAAGCACAGACTACTTTAAGAATTCCTAAACAGTTTAAAGATGATGATGTGTCATGGAAGATCTAACACCCCCTTCAAATGTGCAAAATTAAATTTAAGCTTGATCTGTTTATAATTTGGTTTTTTTCTTAGAACACAGCAACCAAAACACCACCCTATTTTAAATTTTGGACTTTTTGGAAACTGTTTACAGCGTGCTTAAATCATGATACTACTCAGTCTGAAGTGAAAGTCAAACAAATACTTTCAAATTACAAGTAACAAATTCCTTGCACTTGGTTACCTGCATGGGGAAAGACCACATCAGGGTCAAGAAAATGCTCTGTTGAAGTCTGCTTAACATTAACAGGCAATTCATTTTCACTTCCATCTTCCCATTGAACACCCCCAAAAAACCTTGGAACTTCATAAAGCTTGGACAGCAGATGTGAATTCCAACTTACAGATTAGAAACAGGTCATTTAGAAACTGAATGTAAAAAAAAAAAAAGTTGTAATGGCTTACCAATTTTAGTCCTGTAAACAAGTATTTCACTTCTTGATTGATAAAGCAGCTAAGCTGAAGCAGATTCTCCTTTCCTTTAGTTACTTCCTCTTCTTCAGCTTCTGTACATTTCATGCTTCACAAAATTAAGGAAAACCATCATGCACCAAGAGCTGAACTACTACTGCTCTAGTGAAAAGAACACACTGAACAGCACGGTAACTTAAGATAATCCTGCGCTTGTGCATCGACAGTACTTTTACTTCTCATAGGATAAAAATGAAGATTTGAAACAGCTCTTCCTTCTAACCAGTCTGTTCCTTTGTGTCTAATGACGAGTGGTAGCTGAGGCAGACAGCATACCAAAAAAGTAAAGCAAGTTTTTAATCACCATCTAAGCCTCTGAGGCCTGCTTGCTTCTTTCTTCCCTCCCCACCCCTCCAGGACACAGATCACACTAACTGGCTGCCAATACAGAACCTTGAAACCGTCCTGCAATTATTGGTCACACTTAATACAAGTT